CAACGTAAACATACCCAGAATCGACAACGCACTCGCCAGTGTCATTGTCATCACCGCCATGCCAAGTCAATCCACCGCAGTAGCCATCAGCGTCATACCTTCATGTCCAGCATGGTAATCGCATTGTCGCGCCGTCCTCCATGCAGAGATCATGATGGCCACCGGCATGGATCATTCGTCACCAGTATCATCAGCAGCATAAACATCACGATCGGCATCGTCATCGTCAGAATCATCCAGGTCATCATCAGCACCTGCACCATCCTCAAAATCAGCACCACCATCACATCACTATCAACTTCATCATCGCCATCATAAACAAACTGCTCCTCGCCATCAGCACCATCATCACCGCCGACGCCATCGTTGCCAACGACATCATCAACACCACATCATCATCACCATCACCATTCCGATTATCATCCTCGTCGTCGCCATCACTATCAGCACCGCCATCATCACCATCATCACCATCAACATCATCAGCACCATCACCATCACCATCATCGCCATCCCACAATCACCGCCATCGTCGTCGCCATTGCCGCATTCGTCGCCGTGATCATCGCCGCCTCCAGCGCCATCAACGTCGCCACCGTCAGCAAGTCATTCGCTCGGGTTCTGGCCCGGAGCGCGCCCGGGGCCGGCCCCGCCTTCCGGGCTCGCGAGCGCGCGCGGCAGATGTGCCCGCGCGGCCACAGAGAACAAGCACGAGCGGCGGCCGCACCTGCATCCGCGCCCTCGCGGTCTGGGCTGGCAGGAGACGGAGCGGGGGGGTGCGAGGGCGATGGGGGCGGAGCAGGGGCGCGCCGATCGACGCCGACGCGACCCACCCCCGCGCCCGGGACGCGGGATAAGCCAGCGGCCTCCGCCGGACTCCGGGGGAGGCGCCCCCCATGGCCCCGCCGCGCGGGCCGCGGCTAGCCGAACCTCGAGCGCAGCGCATTCGGCGCTCGCGCCGCGGCCCGCGCCGCCTCGTCGGCGACCTGCCGGCCCAGCGCCGCCTTCGCTTTCTTCTTGGCATGCTTGCTCAGGGCGGGCTCGGGCACCTGCGAGCCCGCCTCGGGCGCCCGCCTGCAGCCCCTGCCGCCGAGCCTCGTCGGAGGCCTCTCGATCGACCTCGCCCTCGCCGCCGAGCTCCGAGACAGCCCGAGGCGCCTGCAGCGCCGCCAGCTCCGCCTCGATCTCCGCGTCGTCGTCGCCCATCTCGTCGACCTCCACCTCCTCGCCGGTCGCCCAGGCCCTGTCGCTGCTCGCGACGTCGACCACCTGCGCTCCGAACGACTGCTTGGGCCGGAGCACCGAGACAGCGCCCTCGAGGTCGCCGCAAGCAGTTGGGCGGCAGCGGCGCGCCCGCGAGGGAGAAGCATGTATGCACAATATACCGCCCATGTATGTGATCGGGTATGACTGGCATCCAATGTTGGCGGTCATGGAGGTCCAGTCGTTCGTGCCCATGCGGTGCCCGCGCCGGCAAACGAACCGTCCATCCATTATCGCTCATGCGCGCGGGCGTTCTTGCATATCGCGCGCGGGGCGGCGAAGTGAAGACTCAGTGTGACTTGATTGTGCGATTGATGATCACGTATTATGTTCCAAACGATGCCTTGTCGACCCCACAGACAGATTTGGACTGGATCCCGCGATTCGCCCAACATGTGAATTCACATATTCCTTTTTCCCAAAATATTAATTCAAACTTTACTTGTTCCTATAATCCGAATTCACATTCTGACCCTTTCATACAAGCTCCTACAGGAAATTCCAACATGTGAATTTACATTTTCCATGTTTCCAAACTGCGAATTCACATTTACCTTTTCTCCCCAAACGTGAATTCACATATCGCTTTCCCCAACAATTTGAATTCACATATTACCCCGACCCTCAAGATCCCCCCCCCCAAACTGAGGCGCAGCGTTCCGCGTGTCGGACTGGCTGGGCAGATTTTGACCCCCCCCCCCGCCGCATTTATTCCAGTATTCTCTTCTTGCGCCCTCAGCGCACGTTGCTTTCGTCGCCTTTTCCCAACCCCCCGAATCCTTGCTTGGTTTACCCTGGAGTCTCGCGCATGGGTGCAGGCGGGGAACTTCAATTGGTTCCCGCGCCGACACACAGCAATCGAGGATGTATCGCCCACGCGTGGCCCATAGGGACACCATTGCCGGGGCCCTGCGCCCGACCCCCACATTCACCCTCCGAGCGGCTTCTCCCCATCGGGGACCGCGGCCGGCGCACCGGTCTGCCCCTCGGCCGACGACAAGCGGATCTGCGCGACCGCCCTCCGCGCCAGCCATCTGCGCGCACAGCACTGCATGCGAGTTGCAGCGGCGGCAAGCCAAGGGGAGCCCTGCATGCCAGCCTGCGGCGACCACCGCCCCGCGACCAGCGTCCAGCCGCACGGCGGCACCGCATCGCTGAATTGCGCATCCAAGCCGAAGGGACCGCAAAGAGCCCGCACTCGCCGTCGTCGCAGCCGTCGACGCTTTGCTGCGGTTCCGCTGGAGGGGGCGGGGCGGCAGCAGAAGGGGCCACGCCTCCGCCAGCTGCTCCAGCGTCGGCGCGCCCTGCCGCCTTCAGGTACACGCCCAGCTCCGCGCGCAGGGCCACGAGTTCCGCGCGGAAGGCCGCGATGTCCTCCTCCACCACTGGCTGTCGCGGCGGCTTCCCGCGCAGGACGACCTTCAGCGGCCACGCGGGAGGCGGCCAGCAGGCGGCCCCGCAGGCCGTGCACCAGCGGCCGCCGCAGGGCAGAGTCGCCATCAGCAGCGCGTCCAACAGCTGCACGACTGCATTCGCTGCGTATCAGTCGGGGCCCTCCGCGGCGCAGCAAGCGCGGAAGTGGAGCCCGTCGCCCAGAACGCCTCGGGAAGGCTCGGAGCTGGCTCCAAAGCGCCGAAGCGCAGTTGAGCCAGAACGGTTCTTGGACGGAGGAGGAGGAGGAGCAGGAGAAGGAGGATGAGGAACAGGAGGAGAAGCAATAGGAGGAGGGGGGAGAAGGAGGAGGAGGAGGAGGAGGAGGAGGAGGAGAGGAGTATGAGCAGGAGTATGATGATGATGAGGATGAGGATGAGGATGAGGAGAGGATGAGGAGGAGGAGGAGGAGGAGGAGGAGGAGGAGGAGGAGGAGGAGGAGGAGGAGGAGGAGCAGGGGGGGTGCGATCCCGTGGATACGCGGTCGCACGAATACGTTCCGCGCGGGGCATCTGAGAACAAAAACGCCCCGTAATTATCCGCGGGGGCGCGGCCCAGTGACACCCAAATAAATAAACACACATCCCAGGATGTCCCATATTTGTCTTGTTGCCTGGGCATTCGTCTTACCCCCACTTGCCATATTTTGTCCATGCCTTCCTGGGGATCGTCGACTATGTGTGTGTCTCTGTGTGTTTGTTTCCTTCCTGATTCTCGCCCACGAGACAGGAACAAGGGGAGGCGCAGCACCGAAGACAGCGAGCCTCTCGAAGAGAGATCTCCAAACAGGGCCCGGAGGAGGGGGCGCCCCCGCGGGGGGCGGGGGGTGGGGGGCGGGGCCGCGCGCGCCAGAGGCACCGAATGAAGAGGGCCCCCCGACACCAGAGCGGCGGCATCCCCCCCAAAGGAGGCCCGCCCACCTCTTCGACACCGCGGGGGAGGAGGGAGGAGGGAGGAGGGGGGAGGGGGGCAGGCCAGGGGCAGAAAGCCAGAAGAGGTGGGCAGAAGCATGCAGCAGGAGAGCGGTGGAAGCAGGTCGAGGCCAGGGCAGGGGGCCATGCTTCCGAGGAGGCGCCGCGCACCCCCCCACCCAGCCAGGCCTCTCCGAGGATGGCGCGGCGGGCCGCAGCTCCTGAGCGGCCGGTCCCCTCTGAGAAGATCCCCCTGCCCTCTTCGATGGCCTCCCCGAAGACGAGGCTAGGAATGAATGAATGAATGAATGAATGAATGAATGAATGAGCGAGTGAATGCATGAAGAATGAATGCGTGAAGCCGCGTGTCTGTCGGCACATGAGCAATGGCATGAGCGTGCGCTAGACAACATACTTGCGCACTGCTGCTTTCCAGGCTCCCGCCGAAAAAGGTGAAATCTGGTGAGGATACATCGAGAATCTCTGAGATCCTGCGGCTCCGGAAAATTTCTCGCGCGCCGCGGCCTTCTCAGAGCGCTGTGGAAGGCTCCGAGAGCGTTCCGGAGCGCTCTGCAACGGATTTCTCCTCGTCCTAGCCCCGTCCGATGCGCCCTGGACCTCGAACTCGAGGCGAATCCAGTGGTGGCTACGAGGGGCTCCCAGGAGGCCCCCAAAAGGGAAAACGAGGCAAGGGTAGCGGCATAGCTACCTCTTCCTCCCCTTGATCTGGGGGTCACAGCCCCACCCGAGGCTCAAGGACGCGGCAGGAGGCAGGACGAGGATGAGGACGAGGATGAGGACAAGGACGAGGAAGAGGAGGTTGGAGGAGGAGCAGGAGGAGCAGGAGGAGGAGCAAGAGGAGGAGCAGGAGGATGCACCTGGCCCTCTTTGACGGCCTCCCCCGAGGCCTGGCCCTCCCTGCCCACGCCGCCCACCGGCAGCGCGCGCTCGAGCTGAACCAGACGACGAGTCCGCAGAGGGCGCCGCCAGCTGACGTGGACGCACGGCGGTGGCGGCGCGCACCACGGGGGAGAAGCGAGACGGGGCGGGCCCCCGCAGGAGGCGGCGGGGCTCCTCGGGAGCCCGCCGGCCTTCTGGCCGGCCGCCTGCGTCGTCGGTGCAGGCCCACTGAGACGTCCCGGCAGGCCCCCGCGGGCCTCCTCGGGAGGCCCGCCCCCCGCGGCGCTCCCCGCCAGGGGCTCGCCGCCGAGTGGCGGTGGCGGCGACGGCGGGGGCAGCCAAGCGACGAAACGGAGCGGGCCTGACGTGAGAACACATCGCGTCCTCGCGCCGCGGCCCACGCGGGCCGCCAGGGAGGCACACACCGCGCGGAAGACGACGGGCGCTTGCGCGCGGCCTCGCCGAGAAGCATGCGCACGACTGTCCGCGCAGTCGGCCCTGGCCTCTTCCGTCGCTCAGCCGTCGATCTCGATGGCGCGCTGACTCCTCGCGGCCCGCCACGGCTGTTCTGCCCGTGTCGGCGTCGACCGCAAGCCCGAGCGAGTCCGGCGGGAGACCCAGACCTCCAACGACGTGCTGTGTCAATCCGTGGTCCGCGTAGCCTCCCTCCTTTCTCCTCCCTGCTCCTCCTCCCTCTTCCCTCATCCTCCCTCATTTTCCTCCCTCCCTCCGCCTCCTCCCTCCCTCCTCCTCTTCCTCCCGCCACCTTCTCCTCCCTCCGTCCTCCTCCCTCCTTCCTCCCTTCCCCATTCCTCCTCCCCCTTCTCCCCCCTCCTCCCTCCCTCCTCCCTCCCTCCCTCCTCCCTCCTCCGTCCTTCCTCCAACGACGCGCCACTGTTGCCCCCCGTGGTCCCCGACCCGCTCGCACGGCCACGCGTGTGCTGAGGCTCGCCGCGGGCCGCCTCTCGAGGGGCGCCCAGGGGGCCCTGGGAAGCGTCGGGCCTGCCGTGCGCCGAGAGAACGGCAAGGAAAGTCTCCAGTGATCCGTGATAACCACCTTGAAGGGGCCCAGGGACACACGAATGAATACACACAAAGCCCAGGATCCCCCATCTTTTCCTATATTTTCCGTGCTTTTGTCATCCCCCCCGCTTTCCCATAGTTCCCCATGTTTTCCCGGGAGTCGACGCTTAATGGTGTCTGTGTGTGTGTGTCTGTGTGTGTGTGTGTTTGTGTTCCCCCCCCCCCCTGAAGAACGGCAGGAAGGTCTCCAGCGATCCAGGGAGACCGTCTGACTACCTGCCAGACCACCCCAGCCCAACCCGAGGGCCCGAACTTTGGCCCGAATGTCGGGCTGGGAATCGAAACGAAGGGAAGCGAAGGCGCCGGAGTCGGGCACATTGGTGTGCCCCGTGCCCTTTTGGGCATGGCGCAGGAAACCGTGGCCTCACATCTCGTGCTAATATAAGTCGTGGACGAAATACTTCAGGAACCATTACACAAAGAAGGCAAGAATCAATATGCGTATAAACCGCAAGAAAAAGAAGGCGTGGTAGAATATGTTCGCAGACCAGAACAGAATCGAATCGGTGCGGTCGGTGTCCTGGCTGCTGCTGTTGTGTTGCTGTTGGTGTCGGCGGTCGGTGGTGTTGGCGCCAGAGGCAGGAACGGTTGTTAGTGTACTTGAGGTTTGGGGCTGCGCGCTCAGCAGTTGTATGCAATGAAAGTGCTCTCAAGCGAATCCCACCATGTATTGTCTGTGGCAGCTGTTAACCACCTCACATCGTTACTGTCGTAGTGGAGGCATCGTCGTGGATGGACGGCGTTGTTGGAATCGCTGCCAGTGGCTTCGTCTTTGGCGGTCGTGTGCAAACCCTGCAAAAAACTTCCTCATGTCGTCGTCCCACCGCTTTCTTTGGCCGCCATGCTGCCTGTGACCTTGCTGTTTCGCGTCGAGACTGGGGTTCCAGTTCAACGCTCGGTGTGTCCATCGGCTCTGCGGATGGCTTGCAACGCGCGCGGCCCAGCGCCAGACCTTTATGCGGTGTATCTGTACTACGTCAGGAATGTTGTGCTTGTTCATGAGTTCCTCTGCTCTGCGTGTGCTCCGGCGGGTGAAGTCAGACCACAGCTCGTCGTCCAGCGTCTGTTCGTGGGTGTGGAGTGCGTCACTAGTGTCGTCTTGTGTGCTGGTCTGCTCTGATGGGGGCGGGGGGTCGCTGGATGCGTCGTGGTCGCTGGAGTCGTCGGGATCGTCGCTGTCCGCGTCGCGGTTGCTGTGGTTGTCCCCCCTTGGGGCGACGTGCTGTGGTTGTCCCCCCGAATTTCGGGCTGGGGGGGGTACGGGTTCCACGTGATTTTCTGTCAGCGCTCCCCGATCCCCTCCCCCACTGGAGATGGAGGGCACATTGGGACCTTCGGGCCGGGTTTGGGTCGTTTGGTGGGCGGTGAGGGAGACTGGGGAGGCGAGCTCAGGAGAGCCCAGTCGAATCGACAAGGCGGACCAGCGATCGGCATGCATCGGATCGGCGATCGGCAGCCGAGTCGGGAGAAGTCGAATCGGCGGAGATCGGCAGGCTGGTATGCGTTCAATGAGGATAAATCGGAATCCCAAGTCGAATCGAATCGGAATCGGAGCCATCGAAATCGAATCGAATCGAATCGGCAGAATCGAACCGAGCCCTGCGAACTCTATACACCGACGCTTTTTCCAGCCCCGCGTTGACACTTGCACAGGAAAGCGGACCCTGTCTGGTGTATATTGGATGCTGGTGTATACACGTTTTCGCTGTTTCCCAGGGGAAGTGGGGAAACAATATACGCCACGCCACCCCAACGTCGTCCCCGACCCTCAGAAAGTCCTGGGATAGAGAAACAGCCCGCCACTGCTAATGCATATGCTCCAGTTTCTGACATGGCTCGCCAAAACCATAAGCGACCTGAGTCAGGAGGGCCAGGATCATGAGGGATAGGGGGTCTGATCATTTACATATGTATCAAACCAAACCGCCCAGATTGATGATCCCTGATGCAAGGACGGGGACCTCAATGAGGCCACGCCTTCACCATGTCATTAGGGTTTGGGGTTCTTTATCCTCGATGATACTAATACTATGCGTCCTCCTCGGAGGCGTGCGTCACACCCGAACCTATAATATAACAGTGGTGTGGAATATATCGTTTCCCGAGAGCTACGGCCAGAAAACGCCCGCCACGAAGCATGCACTATAAGATTTCTCGGCGCGCGCGTCGCCCCTCGCGGGGGGGACAACCATAGTATTTTTTGTTTGGGGTGACGACGACTTCAGTCCCTGATATCCGGCGTCACGCAAAAATTGCAACATCCCGAAAAACTCCACCAACGCCCTGGACCCCATCTTTCTGCTGCACGGTTCGAAACCGATCGAGCCGTGAGGGTCCCAGTCCCAGGACCCGAAATACAGGGAAAAACGCCCGTTGCTAACAAAATGCGACGCCAGGATCTCAGGGATCGCCAGAGGTCTGGGGGGAAAGCGGTTCGGGAGAGGCGGCTACCTGTCAGCCTCCGAAGGGTTTCCGGCGCACGCAGCTCAAAGGAAGACGACGAGCGCGAGGATGTTGTCCTTCGACCCGCGGTCCTTGCTGGTGGACTAAAAGAAACCATGGCAGCCGCCCCGCATCATCACCATCATCATCACCAGCATGAGCATCATCATCAGCATCCGCATCCGCATCAGCATCATCATCATCATCATCATCATCATCATCATCATCATCATCATCATCATCATCAGTATCATCATCAGTATCATCATCATCATCACCATCATCATGATTACCATCATCATCATCACCACCAACCATAATCATCATCATCATCGTCGTCATCAAATTCATCGTCAGCAGCATCAGTATCAGCATCAGCATCAGCATCATCAGCAACATCACATCATCAGCATCAGCATCATCCCCATCATCATCATCATCATCATCATCATCATCATCATCATCATCATCATCATCACCATCCGCATCGTCATCATCATCATCATCATCATCATCATCATCATCATCATCATTATCATTATCATCATCAGCATCATCAACACCATAAACATCATCCGTATCATCCTCGACGTCTTCATCATCAGAAGCAGCATCGTCATCAACGTCGTCATCATCATCATCCTCGACAACGCCATCGGCAACAAGATCACCATCATCACCATCATCATCAACATCATCATAATCGGCATCACCAGCATCATCATAATCATCATCATAACAAAAGTCATCACCATAATCATCATCATCGTCACCATCACAATCATCATCATCATCGTCGGCGTCGTCATTATCGTCATCATCAATTGATAATCGTCGTCGTCACCGTCGTCGTCCTCGTCCTCATCATCATAATCGTCGTCGCCGTCCTCCTCCTCATCATCGTCATCATCACCATCACCCTCAATCATAATCATCATCACCATCATCAACATAGCCATCATTCTCGTCGTCATCATCATCATCGCCATCGGGATCAGCATCGGAATCATCATCAGCATCATCAACATCAAAATCACTAACACCATCATCATCATCACCATCACCATCGTCATCGCCATCTTCATCGTCATCGTCTTCATCTTCACCATCGTCATCAGCAACGTCATCGTCAGCGTCACCATCATGATCACCGCGATCGTCACCATTACCATCAAAATCATCCGCTTCGGTATCCCTATCCTTCTCCAGACAGGCCTCACGTCTCGTCCTAGTCCTCCTCACCCTACTCCTCCTCCATCCTAGTCCTCATCTCCCTCACCGTCCTCTTCCTCCTCCACCTCCTTATCCTCATCCTCCAGATCATCAGCAGCATCATCATCATCAACATCATCGTCATCATCATCATCATCATCATCAGCATCATCATCATCAACAGCATCATCATAAACATCATCATCATCATCATCCGCAGCATCAGCATCAGCATCAACATCATCATCAGTATCATCATCATGATCAGCATCATCATCAGCAGTATCAGCATCATCAATACAATCATCATCATCGTCATCATGTTCATCATCATCATCATCATCATCATCATCATCATCATCATCAGAAATCAGCATCATCGCCATCACCACCAACACCACAACCATGACCACCATCACCAGCATCTCCGCAATAGTCATGATCGTCATCACCATCATCATCATCATCATCATCATCATCATCATCAGCAACATCATCATCATCATAATCAGAATCATCATCATCGTCACCATCATCGAAACCGTCATCATTGGCACGGTCATCATCGCCATCGCCATCAGCATCATCATCAGCAGCATCACCATCATCAACATCATCACCATCGTCGTCAGCTTCATCGTCATCGTCATCGCCGTCGCGCCGTCGTCGTCGTCGTCGCCGTTGTCCTGCTCATCATCCTCATCATCATAACCGCCGTCGCCGTCCTCCTCATCATCGTCATCACCATCAGCATCCTCAATCATAATCATCATCATCCGAACCACCACCATCATCATACTATCATCATTTTTTATTGCCGTCGCAATCATGATCATCGGGATCAGCATCGGAATCTTCATCAGCATCATCAGAATCCCACTCACGAACACCATCATCTGCAGCAGCATCACCGGCACCATCGTCATCACCGTCGCCCTCGTCATCGTCATCTTCATCGTCATCTTCATCGTCATCATCATCATCATCATCATCATCATCATCATCATCATCATCATCATCATCATCTGTCATCAGCAACGTCAGCGTCAGCGTCACCATCATTATCACCGCGATCGTCACCATTACCATCAGCACCGTCCGCTTCGGTATCCCTATCCTTCTCCAGACCAGCCTCACTCTCATTCTTCCCATGTTCCTTGTCCTATTCCTCCCCCTCCTACTCCTCCATCCAAGTTCTCATCTGCCTCACCGTCCTCCTCCTCCACCTCCTCCTCATTCTCCTCCTCCAGATCATCAGCATCATCAGCATCATCATCAGCAGCATCAGCATCATCAGCTTCAGCATCCGCATCAACATCATCACCATCATGATCATCATGATCATCTTCATCATCATCAGCAGCATCACCAGCAACATCAGCATCATCATCATCAACATCATCATCATCGTCGCCGTCGCCGTCGTCGTCAGCAACAGCAGCAGACGCCGCAGCATCATCATCCCCACCACCCTCCATTCTACTCCCAGTTCAGCATGATCCTGATCTTCCGCCTCTTCCTTCTCCTTTTCCGCCGCGGAACTGTTCGCCCTTGGCTCGCAATCTTTGGGCCCAACTGGCCTTGGCGATCTCCACCAGGGTCCGCGCGGTTCTCTCCTGCAGCATCCTGCCAGGAAGGAGGGGGAAGAGAGATAGAGAGAATGGGCGTGAGGAGGACGCGGAGGGCAGAGGAAAGGAGAAGGAGAACAAAGGAAGCGGGAGCGAGGAGAGGAAGACGGAGGGGAAGGAGGAATTGAAGAGGACCAAGCCCTCCTGTCACTCGCCCTGAACCTCCTCCCCCTCATCTAATCTCTTCCACACTCATCCTTCCTCTCCTCCCCCTCCTCCATCCCTCTTCCTTCTGGGTAACAAGCTACTCTTTGTCTGACCGCCAGACGTGTCCGTAGCGCGGGCTGGGCGTTTCGACTGAGGCTTCCCTCCCCGTTTGCGACTCCGAAACTCGACATGCCCGGCATTTGTTGCACCATGAAGCGGGGGGGTGGAGCTGAACAGGTGGCTCCCTTCTCAGCGCGCGCAGGTTCGCTGTAAAAGCTCCCGAAGGTTACGCTGACGGAGGGCGTGTGGTTTCCGAACTGTACCTCTCGCCGTAGTGCCGCGCACGAATCTTCAAACAATTACGCGGATGGAGGGCGGCTCCTTTCCTGAACATGACTCTCGCTTGATACGTCCGTACAAACGGCTACACGGATGAAGGGCGGCTCATTTTCAACTCTGGGTCCTCGCTGAGCACGTCCTTACGTAGGTTCTGTGGCCAGACGTGTAACAGCTGAGATAACATGCACGGAATAAGAGTGGATCGTCGTCAAGGCGAGACTCTCGCTGGATACTTCCTTGAAGGTCTGTTCACACCTCGTCACCGTACTATAGTCAGGCCGTCTAAGAAGGGCCCACGGTAGGGATGCAGTGGCCTTGGGGGACCATTGCGACACTTGGCGGGCGGGGCGAGGCCAGCGAAAGAGGCGAAGGATGCGCCGAAGGGGAAGGATGCACGGGTAACCTTGGAACGTGGCTCATCCTTATTCTGCGGGTTGACTGTATAGCTAGACGCATGGATTGAAGCTCCTTGTCAAAACTGGGTTTCGCCAAGATTGAAAGGCCACAGGTCGTTCAACTTTCGGAAAGGCACTTCTCTCATTAAGGAGGAAGCCTTGGAAGGGTAAGGACCTCGAAAGGGAAATGGGACGGGCAGGCGTACCGTATGGCAGCAACGCTGACGCATCTTACGCTTGCCTGGGTACTCCTCCCCTTCCTCACCCCCTTCCTCCTCGCCCTCCTCCTCCTCCTCCTCATTCACTGCTCCTCCCAATCCTCCTCCTCCTCCTTCTTCTTCTTCTTCTTCTTCTTCTTCTTTTCCTCCTCCTCCTCCCTGTCCTCCTCCTGGCTCGACGACGGCGACGGCGACAGCGGCGGCGGGGAGCCTGCCGATGGCCTGCGGGCTCCCCCCCTCGGAGACAGCGCCGCCGACGCAACTGGCGAACACCTCGCGGGCGTCGGCGTCGGTGAGCGCGTCCCACAGGCCTGGGACCGAGGAAGGGGTCAGCGTTTTCCTATTCGGCGTTTCCACACAATGGGCAGAAGGCGGGGGGCGGGCTGGCTCCAGACCTCTCCTCGGCGCGACGGTTTGCAGCAGTGCGTCCCATGGGGGGAAGCTCCACCTGCTTGAAACAGGCGCCAAAAAATGAGCAAGATCTACCCCATTGGGGGGGAGGGGGGGGTTCGAGGGCCCGCGCCGATCGGCAAAACAAGGAATAAGAAAACGATCACAAGTTAGGTGTTCCTGGCCCAAAGTCCCCCAGCGTTTCGCTCCATGTTGTAGCCCCTCGGGCCCCCTGGGCCTCTTGAAAGGGTGCTCTGGAGGCCGCGGGGGCTTGGGCCAGGGGCCTGGGACTCAGGATAGTGAACTCGGGGAACAAATGGGCGACGAGAAGAAATGGGTCTTGCGCGAAGTGGCATCTGGACCTTACGCGGCGAAATACTCCAGCCGCCTGCGCGGCATGCTACCTTGGAGACGAGGGCGCGTGCGGACAGCTTACGCGCTAATGTCGGTCTATACGGCCTCGTTTTCTTCCGTCGCAAGGGTAGAAACAATGCCTTTCGGAGGTCCGTGCGGATTCCTCGGATCTGCGCTGGCCCACCCTGGCGGCGCCTCCGGCGCCGCCCCAGGGGCGTTCCGCGCGCCAGGGAGGGGTGTCTAGCGCAGATCAAGGAAATACGCGCGGGCCGTCACAAGTATATGTTTATACCGTTCTTCCTCTTCGAGGGAAGTGGCACCACCGCCACCTCCAGCGCGAAGGGCAGAAGGTATCCTCTTGGTGGTGTGTCAGGAGCCGATCTCTTTACACGGACGCTGTTGCGGCCACGCACTGACATTCGCATAGTAAAGCGGCTCCTGCTGTATACGGGATCCTGGTGTATACATTTCCCGCCGTCTCCCCGGGAAAGCGGGGAAAACCAGTACACACCACACCACCGCGACGTCGTCCCCGACCCTCCAAAAAGTCCTTGGACTCAAAAGCTGACCGCCACTGGCAACGTGTGCGCTCCAGATGTCGAGCGAGGTCCCTCCGTCCCCGCTCTGGGCATTTTCCTCCCCACCAGCTCGGGGGGGCGCCGTGGACCGCCTGGCTGGAAGCGCGGCGCCCCCGTCGGTGGTGGTGCCGCACACCTCTTCTGTTGTGTTCTCCCCCCCAGGCAGGCCGTCGCTCGCGATCAGGAGCGCGGCGCCGCGGTCTTCGCTGCCGAGCCTGTGGCGACCGCGAGCGACGACGGCACCGCGTCGTCGTCGTCGTATTGTGCCGTCGTCGTCTTCGTCGTCGTCGTCGTTGACGTCGCCGTCGGCGTCGATCGACGACGGCGCCGGCGCGGGCCGCGGCGGCCACGGGCTCCGCGCCGCTGCCGCGGACCGCAGAAGGCCCCGCGAGGGCCGCCGCCGGCCCTCGGCGGCGGGGGAGGGGCAGGAGAGCCCAGGATCGGATCGACAAGTCGGATCGGCGATCGACATGAATCGGATCGTCGGAAATCGGCAGCTGAGTCGGGAAAAGTCGGATCGGCAGAAATCGGCAGGCTACTGTGCCTCCAATAAGAAATCGGAACTCAAATCGGAATCCCAGATCGAATCGAATCGGAATCGGAAACCATCGAAATCGAATCGAATCGAATCGGAGGAATCGAAACGAGCCCTGGAGGGGTGGGGGGCTCCCCGGCCACCACCGTGTCCATCTCGATCTCCTGGGGCTCTGCTGTGCTTCCTGCTGTTCAGCATCTGCCACGTGTGCGGAGCTGCACTGTCGATGCCGCGCTTTCTTGTGGCTTTGCTGCGTTCCTGCTCGCAACGCACACCGCCAGAGGTGGCGGAGAGCTTGAGCGATCCACCTACCAAACGTGCGGGAGGGAGCCGAGACTCAGGGAGAACGCCGAGGGGAGACCGGCTCACGGGGCGAAACGGGGCTCGCCCCAAACAGCGTTTTCCGATGTCGTTGCGTCTTCGTTTTCTCTCGTTCTGTCTTGATTCCACCGTTGCTGCAAAACGAGACCAAGACCAAAACGGTCCACGAGATCGCCCAAACATCGTTTCGGTCGAGCCCTGGGGCGAAGCATCGACCTGGAATCAGCGAGTCGTCGCCGATGCAGCAGCGATAGGCCCCCGATGGCGAGTCCGAACCGTCAGGTCGGGCTATATCGGGTACATGTTGGCGAGGAAGGGGCCACTGGGGATCGATGCATCCCCCCCTGCCCGCCCTGGCGTTGCCCCCGACTGGGACGACTTGTGCAACGACGGCGGCGGCGGCGCTGCCGCCGCCGTCCGCGCCGTCGCTCGGCGGTGGCATCGGCGGCGGCGCCACTGGCTCCGCGCTGCTGCCGAAGCGGCCGCCAAAAGCCGGCGTGGGCCGTCGGCGGCAAGGGCGACATCGACCCCCCCTCGAATGATTGACTCTTAACTCTTCTTCTTCTTCTTCTTCCTCCTCCTCCTCCTCCTCCTCCTCCTCCTCCTCCTGAGCCTCCGCCTCCTCCAGCTCCTCCTCCTCCTCCTCTTCCTCCTCCTCCTCCTCCCCTCCTCCTCCTCCTCCAGCTCTTCCTCCTCCAGCTCCTCCTCCTCCTCCGCCTCCTCCTCCTGCTCCCACACTCCTCCTCCTCCTCCTCCTCCTCTCCTCCTCCTCCTCCTCCTCCTCCTCCTCCTCTCCTCCTCCTCCTCCTCCTCCTCCTCCTCCTCCTCCTCCTCCTCCTCCTCCTCCCCCTCCTCCCCTCTCCTCCTCCTCCTCCTCCTCCTCCTCCTCCTCTCCTCCTCCTCCTCCTCCTCCTCCTCCTCCGCCTCCTCCACCTCCTCCTCTCCTCCTCCACCACCCCCCCTCCTCCAGCTCCATCCCTCCTCCTCCTCCCCCTCCACCCCCCTCTTCCTCCTCCTCCTCCTCCTCCTCCTCCTCCTCCTCCTCCTCCTCATCATCATCATCATCATCATCATCATCATCATCATCATCATCATCAGCCTCCTCTTCCGTAGCCATTTTGGCTCAAGTTCGAAACGCTCCCCTGGCGTTTCGAGTTTGGTCGCCAGCGAACGCAAAGGGAAGCGAAGCACAGCGAGCGCCAGAATCGTGCGCGCTCCGCTCAGGAGCCCTCCCGTGCCCCTTGGCTTGGGGCATGTCGCCGAGGCCGTGGTCACACAAACGTGATGCGTGCGCGGACTCACCCGAACACCACCATTCGGTATACGCAAAGCGAAGCGAAGCACAGCGAACGCCAGAATCGTGCGCGCTCCGCTGAAGAGCCCGCCCGTGCCCCTTCGGGCATGGCGCCGAGGCCGTGGCAACAATCATGCTACCGAGGAACCCCACATACTTAATTTAATTATCCTGGCGAAGGACCCAACCATATGCAATTGTGAATACTGAAATTGTGAATATCTTCTCGGTGGAGCCCCCGACGGGGCCACGAAACGTACGAGGGGTGTGCCGAAATGGGTGTGCGGGACGCATGCGGGCACACCCACTGGGGCCTTCGGTGGAGCTCCCTATGGGGCCACGAAGCGTGTGAGGGGTGTGCCGAAATGGGTGTGCGGGACGCATGCGGGCACACCCACTGGGACCTTCGGCGGAGCTCCCTATGGGGCCACGAAGCGTGTGAGGGGCGTGCCGAAATGGGTGTGGCTGACGCATGCGGGCGGGCACTGGGGCCTTCGGCGGAGCTCACTATGGGGCCACGAAACGTGTGAGGGGTGTGCCGAAATGGGTGTGCGGGACGCATGCGGGCGCGGGCACTGGGCCTTCGGTGGAGCTCCCTATGGGGCCACGAAACGTGTGAGGGGTGTGCCGAAATGGGTGTAGGTGACGCATGCGGGCGCGGGCACTGGGGCCTTCGGTGGGAGCTCCCTATGGAGCCACGAAGCGTGTGAGGGGTGTGCCGAAATGGGTGTGGGTGACGCATGCGGGCGCGGGCACTGGGGCCTTCGGCGGAGCTCCCTATGGGGCCACGGAACGCGTGAGGGGCGTGCCGAAATGGGTGTGGCTGACGCATGCGGGCGCGGGCACTGGGGCCTTCGGCGGAGCTCCCTATGGGGCCACGAAACGTGTGAGGGGTGTGCCGAAATGGGTGTGGGTGACGCATGCGGGCGCGGGCACTGGGGCCTTCGGTGGAGCTCCCTATGGAGCCACGAAACGTGTGAGGGGTGTGCCGAAATGGGTGTGGGTGACGCATGTGGGCGCGGGCACTGGGGCCTTCGGTGGAGCTCCCTATGGAGCCACGAAACGTGTGAGGGGTGTGCCGAATTGGGTGTGGCTGACGCATGGGGCCTTCGGCGGAGCTTCTACTATGGGGCCACGAAACGTGTGAGGGGTGTGCCGAATTGTGTGTGGGTGACGCATGCAGGCGGCAGCACTGGGGCCTTCGGCGGAGCTCCTATGGGGCCACGAAACGTGTGAGGGGTGTGCCGAATTGGATGTGGGTGACGCATGCGGGCGGCAGCACTGGGGCCTTCGGTGGAATTCCCTATGGAGCCACGGAAACGTGTGAGGGGTGTGCCGAAATGGGTGTGGGTGACGCATGCGGGCGCGGGCACTGGGGCCTTCGGTGGAGCTCCCTATGGAGTCACGAAACGTGTGAGGGGTGTGCCGAAATGAGTGTGGGTGACGCATGCGGGCGCGGGCACTGGGGCCTTCGGCGGAGCTCCCTATGGAGCCTCGAAACGTGTGAGGGGTGTGCCGAAATGGGTGTAGGTGAGGCATGCGGGCGCGGGCATTGGGGCCTTCGGTGGAGCTCCCTATGGAGCCACGAAACGTGTGAGGGGTGTGCCGAAATGAATGTGGCTGACGCATGCGGGCGCTGGCACTGGGGCCTTCGGTGGGGCTCCCTATGGAGCCACGAAACGTGTGAGGGGTGTGCCGAAATGGGTGTGGGTGACGCACGCGGGCGCGGGCACTGGGGCCTTCGGTGGAGCTCCCTATGGAGTCACGAAACGTGTGAGGGGTGCGTCGAAATGGGTGTGGGTGACGCATGCGGGCGCGGGCACTGGGGCCTTCGGTGGAGCTCCCTATGGAGCCACGAAACGTGTGAGGGGTGTGCCGAAATTGGTGTGGGTGACGCATGCGGGCGCGGGCACTTGGGGCCTTCGGTGGAGCTCCCTATGGAGCCACGAAACGGTGTACTGGGTGGGTGAAGAGGAGAGGAGGAGAGGAGGGGAGGAGAGGAGGAGAGGAGAGGAGAGGAGAAGAGAGGAGAGGAGAGGAGAGGAGAGGAGAGGAGAGGAACGCGGGGCACCGTCTCTTCAAAACGAAGGCCCAACACCACAGGATGGCTGGGAACTATTATGTGCTTGCGTGCGTGAGGGACCAACTCCTGCGCACCCTCTATGGTGTCGAAAAAGTGTCACGCCTGCTATGCTTTGGACGACCGTCGTGCATAGCGGCCGCGGTGAGGGACCACCCCCTGCGCACCCCCTATGGTGTCGAGAAAATGCCACGCCTGCAATGCTCTGGGCGACCGTCGTGCATAGCGGCCGCGGTGAGGAACCACCCCCTGCGCACCCCCTGTGGTGTCGAGGAAGTGCCACGCCTGCCACGCTTTGCGAGCCCGCAACGGATAGGGAGACCACCCCCAGCGCACCCCCTATGGTGTCGAGGAAGTGCCACGCCTGCCACGCTTTGCGAGCCCGCAACGGATAGGGAGACCACCCCCTGCGCACCTCCTTTGGTGTCGAGGAAGTGCCACGCCTGCCACGCTTTGCGAGCCCGCAACGGATAGGGAGACCCCCCCAGCGCACCCCCAATGGTGTCGAGGAAGTGCCACGCCTGCCACGCTTTGCGAGCCCGCAACGGATAGGGAGACCACCCCTGCGCACCCCCTATGGTGTCGAGGAAGTGCCACGCCTGCCACGCTTTGCGAGCCCGCAACGGATAGGGAGACCCCCCCCAGCGCATCCCCCTGTGGTGTCGAGGAAGTGCCACGCCTGCCACGCTTTGAGAGCCCGCAACGGATAGGGAAACCAATCCCAGCGCACCCCCTGTGGCGTCGAGAAAGTGCCACGCCTGCCACGCTTTGCGAGCCCGCAACGGGTAGGGAGGCCACCCCCAGCGCACCCCCTGTGGTGTCGAGGAAGTGTCACGCCTGCCACGCTTTGCGAGCCCGCAACGGATAGGGAGACCACCCCCAGCGCACCCCCTGTGGTGTCGAGGAAGTGCCACGCCTGCCACGCTTTGCGAGCCCGCAACGGATAGGGAGACCACCACCAGCGCACCCCCGGTGGTGTCGAGGA